CTCATTAATTTGGAAGATTAAGTCAGTAAAATAAAATGTTTTGACCTGAGTGATCTGATGTCTGGATGTCTGAACAGGAAAACACCCCTGGTGCTCTACACCATGAACTTAACTGGAGAGAAGAAGCAAAGAGGTGTTTAAAGAGGGATGTAGCAGGTGAAGTACTCAACTGCAAATGTGTCACTGGTAAGCTGACCTATGCTGCTGTTGCTCTGTGTTGATTTACACAAATGTTATAGTATAGAAGAGGGTGTTAGCTTAGCAATAATGGCTGCTCTTCAACCTCTATCTGGGATAAAGGTAAAATCAAAATGGAATTTGGTAGCATTTAAATTTTTAATTGATGACTCCTCCAAGAAGATAGCAAGATACATAAAAACTGCATGTATAGAAGTATCCCCTTGAAGGTACAGCTCTGCAACAATTTTTGCTGTTGCACAATTGTCCCATAAATCTATTTTATGATGTCTCTGCTGCCACCGAGCCCTAACCCATTATTGACCAAGGATACCACGGCCTGCCCTGCACCATTGCAACATCCATCACTGCAAACATTACCACGACACAGTATAGCCTGCATTTACTGAGTGAGTCATTATATTTTCACTTGTTTTTTTTTTTAGATATATTTCTCTCCATGAATGAACCTCATAATTTAGGAAACCCATCATGACAGATCCACAGCATGATTTTTAAAAAGAACGGAAGAAAACATCATTTAGGCCTACAAATAGTTGCTTTGAGCTGTTGCTTTATTTCCCAGAGGCCCCAAGTGCAGATGAATCTGCCTACAATACATTAAAATCGACTCAGCCTACAGCAAATGTACATTCTAATTCTAAATGCTGACACTCTATTATCAAAGTAAGTCAGAGATGTTTTCTGGATTCTTTTTGTTTTATGAATAACAATCATAAAACATTCAAAGCTTTCATTTACACTAAAGATTTCACTTAACTATGACTATAACTGCATGTAATGAGTTTCAATATGCTGATGACTAGTTTGTCTGTTATGCCACAATTTAATCCTAAATTGATAACTTGGTTACCACCAACTCTTTAAGTGTGATTAAAAAGAAAAAAAAACAATGGTAATCTTTGACTAAGATGGATTCTTGTAATGTATTGTATTACAGGTTAATTACTGTTGGTTACTGTTAGCTGAATCAAAAAAATGTAAAGACTGAATTCAGTCAAACTGAACAATTTTAAAGGATGCAGATATAGTTGCTATTTAGAAGCATTTTGTGTATATTCAGTGAATCTGTCCATCACCTGCCACCATGAAATGAGAATGAAAACAGGAAACACTCTACAGATCAGTTTATAAGCACTAGCAATTGTGCCTTTTTTGTATTTCTAGACTTACTGGAGTCTCACGGATGGCTTTTCACTTTCCATACTCACCCAATGCAAAGAGAACAGCCTCCTTTTAATTTAAATAAGTCATCCTTCATGCAAATCAAATAACACTGATGTGCAGCTGACTATGAAACAAGCACTGGGACTGTCCACAGAATGCAAAACCAAACAAAGAGGCTGGATAAATATTTAACTACCTTAAAGACACTAAGTGAAGCTTCACTTGGAAGCTTTACACATGAATGGTCTCTGGCTGATCACTGATAAGGTAGTGCCAAGAAATCAGCTCACATTCATCACACTTCTCTTGGTTTTACTGCATCATCTAAATTGAGGAGGAAAATTCCAATAATGTCATCTAATAATACTATAATAATTTGTATTTTATTTTTATTTTATGATCTCCCAGAGGTGAATTACCTAAGCATCCTACCTAAGAAGCTTTCACTATTTTCTGTTTACTGAAGGAAAAAATCTAAATACATTATTCCTGCTTTGTAAAACAATTATCCAACACAAATGATACTTAAACCCTTGTGCAGCACCATGTTTTCTTGAGAACAAGACACAGTAGTGTATACTCACCTGAAAATGGCACCCAGTGTTTTATTCAGATTTCATGTGAGCCCCTCTGCCTGGTTTTTGGGTCCTGTGCCACCCAATTAAGGAAAATCCTGAATGCGCCCCTGAAAAGAAAACTGTATATCATTGGTTAAATGATCACCATGCAATATTTGTTTGTGCAGACCTGCCATAACTGTGGGGGACTAGTCCAACTGGAATAGTATGATAGGGGGAGTTTTGTTCTTCCGGTGTGGTCAGTGTGTTTTGCCGTGTGCTGGAGTACGCATTAAAGTTTTACAGCAGACTAACATCGAGAGTGATTATTGGCTCGTCGCATCACACGAGAGTGCTACAAAAACCGAAAAAAACCCAAAACACTCCTTTCTCAGACAGTGCAGACAGCAAGGATTTTGGTCCTCCCCGTGATCGCCGTTGTTTTGATGTACATTTAAAGCCATGTGTGTTTCCGTCGGTTACGCTGTTTAAAAGACTCAACAGAAAGTTGCATCCTTAATTCATCTCATGTGTGAAAGTTTTTTTTTTATTTCCGCCGCCCGCCCGCGGCCCACCCCTTCCCCCCTCTATCTCCCGTGTCGCTGTTCGTATCCAGCCATTTTCAGCCCGCCTCGTTCTTTCTGTCTGCAAGACTCCCAAGAGAATCATCGGTCCTCTTTTATTCTAACATTTTTGGGCTGTGGACTTTTTTCTCCCGGAAGTTGGAATGTGTAAATATTATGATTAGTGAACAGCAATGATTAGCGGATGGATGGAGCTGCTTCCTTTTGTGGCAGCTTCTGCCACAACATACCGTCCATATGTGACTCTGCGCTACCACGTGTCCTTCTCATGATCGTGTCTCTTCTATGTGCAGATGTAGAAGGTATTTTGTAGTGACTAGGCTACGATGAACTGAATTTGAATGTTGTATTTGTCCACTGCAGCTCCTTATTTTAACATTCACGCTTCAGAGATTTGGCTCACAAGACATATGGCGTCAATGTGCGCTGCAGGGTCTTATTATGTTTTTTGTTGTTTTTTTTTTTAATCAAACTTTGTGGGTTATCAAACTGAATGGTTGTGTATCATCATTTATTATCTACGCCCCCAACCTCTCTCTCTCACATACACACACAAAATAATTCATTAAATTTTGATGTGAATGCTTTTTACAGCTCTCCAGGTGATTGGTGGAAGTGTGACAGTGGAACAAGGAGGTACTGCGATCTTATCGTGCTATGTCACTGGTACCAATGATGACCTGATACAGATTACCTGGCAGAGGAAGACGAGAGAAAAACCTCACAATGACAATTTCCTCACTATCTTACCCAGAGAGGGAGTGCAGTTTGTCAATGGAGGTGATGATCGATTTAAATATATCGGGAATTTTAATGACAAAAATGGAACTCTCCAGTTTTCCAATGTTGCCCTGAAGGATGAAGGCAGCTACACGTGCATCTTCACATTGTTTCCCAGTGGAAATCAGAAGACTGAGATACCGCTAAACTTGCTGGGTATAAAAAAACATAAAACAAAACTTTATTTCAAATATTGTGGGCGTTTGTTTGTGAGACAGACATTTCACCATGTTGCTCGCATGTTGACTAATTGTGTGCTGCAACTCTCTTAGTGCCTCCCTTCACAAACATCAAGGACAATCTTCCCACTTTGGGCACTGAAGAGGTTTTATTTGCTACCTGCACGGCTGCTGGATCGAAGCCTCCTGCAGAGGTGAGGTGGCTCACTGATGCTTTGGGAGACAAAGTGAGGACGACAACAAACTCCACACAGTATGATAACGATACAACTACTACAGTCAGCTCATTGTTTGGTGTACCTAAGAGAGAGATTAACGGTCAACAGGTCCAGTGTGTCATCAGTGGTGACTCCCTGTCTACAGATGAAAGTCTGCCCTTCACTATACAGATCTACTGTGAGTATCAGCTGCTATGTAGTTTATTATTTGTCTTCTTTTGTGTTACTGTTGACTTAACAATTTTGATTATTAAATCAAATATTAAAAGTACACATGCACACCCAGGATTAACTGATTAAACTGCAACTGCAAAGCAATACTATAGAACTTAATTACTCGTTACCAGTTGATCTGTGTTATCTACTCATGCAACAGAAATAGTTTCATCAATTATGGATAAAATAAAAGTAATAGCTGCACTTTTTTAAAACTATACCCTGCATCTTTGTTTTGAACAAAAGCAGACATAAACCCTCAAAACTTCATACTTTCAGGTAACCTTAAGTGTTAAGAGTTGACATGGTTTTGCTTTTCTTTGTTCATGGGTTGATTTTTTTGTTTTTCCCAGTATGGGATACCAGCTTTATCCTTGTTCTCATGCTACTGTCATTCACTCATGTTGTCACAATAGCTGGATAAAGATTTTGCAAATGATGAGACGAGTAATGGAACCTGATCTGTGTCCTGAGACACAACCACTCAGTTAAGCTGAAATGCAGCAAACTCAGTAAAGTTGTGCATCAGTGTGTGTACCAGCAAGACTTTGGTAGGGGAAAAGTAGAATTGAAACTATGTCTGTTTAATCAAAGTCCAACTGTGTTTATTTTTATTTTTTTACTTACTAGCAGTTGTGCAATGCACTGTTTACATTGTTCATGTGAAATATAAGTTTGCACTATGTATTTGCTCTCGGTAAGAGTGCAGATGTTCAGGTTAAAAATTAACTGTCAGCAGCTAAAGGCAAGTGACACGACACCAAGTGCACAGACTAGCTTAAACCTGTTTGTAAAGCTTGACAATAACTTCATTTGTTTCAGATCTGTCCAGTGAAGCAAAAATACTAGAGGCTGTTTTCAAAGTTAAAGCATGTGCTTCCAGTTGTGTGGGTTCTTTTTTTAAATGACACGGTTCATCTGTGGTGTTCTATTTCTGGTTGTAATCCCCATAAAGGCCATGCTTTTAAACAGAGCACCAACATGCTTGAATGTGTATGACAGGATCTCTCCTTGAAACTACATGAAAAGTACCCAAAATGCATTTCTTTGCTTGTTTGTTTTTTGCATATTAACACAGGTCTTTCATTCTTTCTTTTTTTGCAGTTTCTCCCACAGAAGTGAACATTAGCGTGATTTCAGAGGACTCATTCGAGTGTGTGACAGAAGCCAAACCAAATGCAAACTTTATCTGGAGCAGGTAAAGTAGTTTGAATATTGGTTTCAGTTGAAATATTCATTTCATTTCACGTGAGTGGTAATATTAAAGGCACTGAGTCTTATATAGTGCTTGTCTACTCTCCTGGAGCACTCAAAGCGCTTTATACACACCCATTCACATAAGCACTTTCTTCTATGCTTTTAAAGTACTCACTAACATTCACACATATTCATACTCCGATGGATGCAACTTGTTAGTATCTGGCCAGTGACTTCCCCAAGCATGCTTGGCACGCAGACTGCGGGAGCCAGGGATCAAACCACCAACCTTCCATTCGGTAGATGACCTTCTCTACCTCCTGAGCTACAGCCACCCCCCAGGAAAGGGTGTTATCACCAAGCACATGTCAGTAAAGATGGTTTTAGAGTGTTTAGAGTGAATTTTGGACAATAAGCTACAAACTATAATATCAGATGAAAGTTCAGTGTGAACACTTTAGGCACATAAGCTGCAATCTGATTAAAATGTTTGTCTTGGATTGCAGAGGCAAGCAGGAGACAAAGAGGAGAGATATTATCTGAAGTTCTATGTACAAGTCGATCAATGTGTTCACCAAACAAGACAGTTGGCTGTGAGCACACAATATCCTCATAGTTCCACTGGATTTGCTATTTTTAAGCAGGCCTGTGGTTTAACCCTCTCAAGGCAGGCGTTGCCGATTTGCAACAGTTAAAAACTAACAACCTGATTACCCCACATACATATTTTATGAGGTTTGTTTTACTCAGAAGTACCACTGCAGGACTTGGTTGTGCATTAGCAACAAAAAACTTAATGTGAGCCTGAGAGGGTTAAAACTAGCTGCACAAGCTAAAGTGACCTCATTTTAGTTTTAAAGAAACATGAAGGTTGCTTCCAAAAATCTGACCTGCTTAGATCCATCCACTCAATGTTGACCATAATTTATAAAACTGCCACCATTAACGTAGATGTTTAGCTTTTAGCACAACTCACATTTTTCTGCCCTCTTTGTACATTTAATATACATTTCACGTTCAGGTCTCGTTCATGTTTTTCCAGATCTGGCCAGTCTTTGCTGGAGTCTTCTGTCAAAGTAGATGGTGCAAAGCTACAACTGCTGAGCCTGACCCCTGATCTGAATGGCCTTTATCAGTGTGAAGCATCTAATGCATATGGAAGTAAACGTGGTCAGCTCTACGTGCATGTGGCATCAGGTGAGGTCAGCTTGGATTTAGCTGTGCAGTTTTTCCAAATCTTTTTGAACTGGTTTCTGATTTTTGGATTTTAGCTTTTGTGGATGTTGCATCATTCTGATTAGGGCTGGGCCATATCATACCGTTCACGGTAATACCGGTATAATGTTAGGCAACGATAAGAAAATGAAATATCGCAATAGAATATGGTTAAAACAAAGGCACTGCCTTTGTTTTAACCATATTCTAACCATATTTTAACCATATTCTTTTTCCGCCATGTATGTATGAAAACAAAGGCACTGCCTTTGTTTTCATACATACATGGCGGAAAAAGCATGGCGGCGAGGGAGAATGAGCAGGGCGAAAGCGGATCGTTGAATGAAACAGATGAACCTGAATTGGTTTGTAAAAATTGTGCCAACTTCAGTAGTGTGGCACTGGTTTATTATTCATCCATCAGATAGACACCAAAGCACAATTTTTGGTAGAACATGCAAGCGGGCCGAAACACCTGGGGCTGCACAGCGTCAACACTTTAGCGCCGTCCAGCCCCACGCGGCGATTCGCGTTAACTCGCTAACGGAGATTTGCCACGTTAATGAGGTTATGGCGCTGACAGCACTTGTTTTAATACGACTTTGGTAAGCTACGAAGCAGCACCGCTTGATGGATTGTCGGAGTGTTACAGCTACCGTAGTCAGGAGCCTCGCAAAGTGATACGTACTGTGCTTTAGCATAATATTACCGTATTGTGTGTGTATAACCTCTTTTTAAGTTTTGTGGATATTATACATGGCTATGCTGAGGATATGTTGGCCCATTTCCACTGGAAATGCCTGTCAACAATAATTTTGCATTTGCACTGTTAAACTTTTATATAGCTTTAATGCACATAAAAACAGTTTCTTGTTTAAGTGAAAATACATTGATGTTTGTTTGTTTTTTGCACTAATAAAGTTTTGGAGTTGTAAAGTGTTTTGTCTCACGTCAATTATATCGTCAGTTATATCAAATATATATCATGATAAATATGTTTGGCCATATTGCCCTGCCCTAATTCTGATGTTGTTCTGTTTCATTTTCTGTGGACTTCTTTCAAAGGAAATAAATAGAAACTTGAACATCTACTATGACGGATAAATGATGGACTTCTGTAGGCACTCCACCCACATACAAATAAGAGGTTAAGAATCGTTTGTAAGTAAATAGCTTAAGGAAATGATTGCCTAACCTTAGAGCCAGCATAAAACAGACAAGTAAATGGATGACCAATGCCCACCCAGTGCAGTACATATTACTCAAGTCAGTTCTACAATTTAAAACTTAAAGCATGCCTTAACGTATGATATATTCTGTTCATGGTCTTATGCCTTAGATTGTGTCAGTCTGAGAGATTCTGATTGTGCCATGAGTGCATGTAGTCTTCTTTAGGCTGTTCTCCTTAGAGAAGCTATGAAAAAATACTACGAAAATAGGAAAAGTCTGGGTCCTTAAGACTGAACTATGAAGAAATGAGGGTTGGCTCAAAATTCTTTGCTTCTTTTTTCAGACCGTTTAAGGATCAAACTATTTGCCTCATGCTCTAGCATCCTCCTCTTTCCTGCCAACCTCCATGTCCTCTTTTATTACATTCATTAAACATCAGTGTTCCTCTTTCACTTGCTCTTTTTCTTCTGCCTGAGAACTAAATAGTCATCATCTAAAATATCCACTCTCCCTCCTTTGCACACGTCCAAACCATCTCAGTCTCTCTAATTTTGTCTCCAAACGTAGCTTTCCCTCTGATTTACTCATTTCTAATCCTGTCCATCCCAGCCACTCCTGATGAAAATCTGAGCGTCTTCAACTTAACATCCTGTCTTTTTTTGCAATGCCACCATTTGCAAACCATATAGCAGTATCATAGCTTTCACCCTTGCTGCTATATTGGGGTCACAAATCACCCCAATATGTATATCCACCCACTCAACACTGCCTGCACTCTCTTCTTCACTTCTTTTGTGCATTGTCTGTTGAAGGTAGATGAGTATAAATATTAGGTATTTATACTCATCTACCTTCACCACCTCTACTCTTTACAGCTTCAGTGTTACACCTGTCTTCTTCTCATTTACACACATCACATATTCTTTCTTGCTTCTACTGACTTTCATATCTTCTCTTCAGTCCATACCTCCATCTCTTCGGGTTGACTTCCAACTCTTCCCCTGCACTTAGTACAGATCACACTGTTGTCTGCAATGATCACAGTCTGAAAAGAGTCCAGTCTGACCTCATCTGTCAGCTTATCCATTACCATTGGAAACAAAAAGGGGCTCAGAGCTGATCCCTGATGTATTCCCACAACCACCCTGAACCCATCTGTCATCTCTGTCTCACTGTCTCACTGTCCTCATACATGTTCTGCATCACCTGTACATGCCTCTCTGCCACTCCTGACTTCCTCATGCAGTATAAGTTTCTTTCTTGGGTCCCTATCATATCCTTTCTTTAGATCCATAAAGACCCAGTGAAACTCCTGCTGGCCTTTTCTGTACTTCTCCATCAACACTCTGAAAGAAAACATCTGTAGTGCTCTTTCTTGGCATGAAGCCATACTGCTGCTAACCTCTCATCTTACTCTGGGTTCAGCAGCTCTTTCTCAAATCTTCATGTTATAGCCTCATATTCCTCAGACATAATGCCACTCTCCAACACTCTCTGTTATACATTCTGGTCAACATGTTTACTGTCCGCTCTCCTAGACATATCTGTACCTCCACAGGTACAGTTGAGGAAAAGTTATTTGATCCTGTGGTGAATTGGTAATTTTTCTCAGTTACAAAGAAATGAACAGGCTCTAATAGGTTCATTTAGCTTCATTTTAGTGTTGTCAGAATATCAATCAATAACCCCAGAAAAAAACACATAAGTTATAAATTCATTTGCATGTTATGTTTTTCCCCAAGCAAAATATCACTTAGTACTTAGTCGAGAAACCGTTGTTCTTTAGAGACTCCTTTGTGACCTACTATGTGGCCTTGGGTCACTGTCATGCTCCTGGCTGAGGGCAATTGATGGTCATTTTATAGTTCTTCCTATTTCAAATATTCACACCAGCAGTTGTCACCTTCTCACCGAGCTACTTGCTGATAGTCTTGTAATCCATTACAGCAGATCTACAGTCTTGTCCATGATGTCCTTTGATAGCTCTTTGGTTTTTCCCATGGTGTAGAGTTGGAAAAGAAGGAACCAATTCTGTGGTTTCTTCAGTTCAGGTCAGAAGTATCTGTGATTAATTGATTGGTTTAATCTGTGTGTCAGTCCGTTGAAACCAGAATTCTGGCTATTTGTTCTGGACTTTAGGTTGATATTTTGTCTCATTAAAATGAAACTACCATAAAAATGAGAAACAGTTCATTTCTTTCTGCTTTTCCCCAACTGTATCAGACAGCTTTCTCACACACCTTTCACATCTTCTCTTCATTTATCTTCACCCAAGACTAGAAAAGTTTTCGCCAGAACATTTTTGACCAACAGTACCAGAAGTGATCATTGTTAACCTGCCCTCAACCTACATGAGCTACATGTCTGATTTGTGTATGGTATATGTTTAATTATTGTCTGAGTCATCTAAATATGAAACATAAAACATAAATACCAGATAATGTAATTCTCATTATATCCTTCATTCTTGTGTCCCTGCAGGAGCGTGCTCTGTTGCATGGGCCTTATTTGGTGTTTTGATTTTCCTGAACATCGTTGGGGCTGCAGTATGGTACTTTTATACACAAGATCAAAGGTACTTCATACATTAACTTGCATGTATCCAAAATGTAGAATAATATTTAGTAGATCTGACTTCAAAGCATGTGGATCTACTGTCCAAACTGAAGTATAGACTCTTTAATTCAAAGGGGTTGAACAAAAATGTTTTTATTTTTACTTTAGGGTTTTTTTTTTTATATATATACACAGTCTCTATTTTGAGGTGTTTGAATTTCAATGGGTACTTTATTTAAAAGCTGTGTGGAATGCTTCTTTAGTTTTTCTTAACCTTGGAGAATCAATGGGGTCAGATCTGACCCCATGGGTTCTCCAGGGTTAAATTAAAGAGGAAAATAGTATGGAAGTGTGGACAAATGAGCTCTTGACAGTAGTTAGTCAGGCCATACTTATGCTGCAAAATCAAAGCGATCTTATCAGAGAGAGTGCAAATCTTAAGAATGGCCTAATTGGCAGTTTTGATACGTTCTGTGGGGAAAAAAAAGTGCACTAGTTAGCGTGTTACAATAGACATTTTAGGCTAGATTTCATACATGATCCACTTCTGGGGACAAGCTCCTTGTTTGCCATTGGCCTTTGTTTCACGTATTTGGATATCTGTCTTTTAACATCGGGTTACTCATTCACTTGGTTGTTTTATTTCAGCTCTATTGCAGTGGTGTTGGAGGGATTTTTAATTAATGTCCCCAAAATTCCAGGCATAGGTTTACACTTTTTTGGCGGCGTGTCCCAACAAATGAATCAGCTGGTGACAGTGCAGCTCAGCAAGAACAACGTCAGACGGAGGTCAGTAACAGTTAATTTGTTGAAATATGCAGTTTTTTCACTCAAAGTTTAATTTCTCTCTCCGAATATTTTGACGCTAATGACTTTATTTAATGTAAAAATCTTTGTTATGCAGTTATGGTAGATATATTAGTAGTTTTTTATTAAATCTGCTCTTCTTAAAAAATGAATGTGTGTGTTGAATATGATAGAAGTTTAAATGTTCTTTTTAAAATATGCAGATACACTGAAGGTCTTTGCATGTTCAGCTAAAATTAAAACCATTTTAAACAAATGTTCTGAACTGTCTTATCACAGCAATCTCCCTGACAGCTGTGGAAGCAAAGGATGGACTATATCTGTACTGAAAGCTCGACCAACATGACATTCTCAAGTCAGCTGGTAAATGAACAGATGAAGAACCGGTGGACATACTTGGTGTTCGTTTATCTCTCTGCCCCCTTTTTGTTTATCATCTCTTAGTTTTTAATGAAGTTTATTTATAGCTTTCTTGTCACTACTACCACAGCATTTAGGGTGTACATACCAACTCTGGCTAATATGAATGGCAGTTTTACTCTGACTGTTCACAGAAGGTAACTGTTCTTTCTGTTCTTCATCTCCTGATAACACAAGCCGTTAAGCTACTGAGGATAACAACCCACAGGGCCTCTATTTGAAACAATGTTATCAGTGTTATCAGTACACCGCAGAGACCGTAAGGTTCAGACAGCACAAACAGTCAAGCGAAGCATACTGTCTGAATACCTTGTAATTCCAACCAGTAAGATTACCACATAGTATATAATACTTGAGTAATACAGCCCCACCCTTGTTTGTACATGGGGGCGAAAGCAGATGTTTTGCTCGGATAACCTAACGTAAAGCAACATACAAGGAAATTTGAAAGAGGAAAAAAAATCTTTAAAAAGGTTAGAATGAGACTTTTTTTTACTGTGTTGAATCATAGGGTTTTTCTTTGTTTTTTAAGATTAATTTTAAGAAAATTAAAGCTCTTCACCCTGCTGAAATCCTTTCCTTTAACTGTAAAAAGTAACACGTTGCAGCATTTTCCAGGAGAGAGCAGCTTTCCTGGAAAATGAAAGCTACACTTTTGTTTTCCAGGAAAGCTGGAAAATTTGGTTTCTCTCATCAATCATTAATCGTAATCGGTGTATTTACTAAGATTGGATGTTGCAGTCTTTGTGATCTGTCTCATGTTTCCTGTTTTACTTTGACAGTCCCTGTCCTATGTAAATGTTTTCAGTTTTGCTTCCCCTTCGTCTTGTAATGCTTCATTACTCCCAGCTGTGCTCTCCTCCTTTGTCCCGTTCCCTCGTTCCCCCTCTGTGTATTTAAGCCCTGTGTTTTCCTTGTTCTGTGTTGTGTTGTACCCTCACCGTGCTGTGTTTTCGTCTCTCTGTTTCTGGTAGCATTCTAGTTCTCTGTTAGCAGTTTTGTTTCCTAGTTCCCCGGTTTTTCTAGTTAGTGCTTCGTGCTTTGAGTTTCTAGTTTTAGTTTCCTTGAATTCATATTCAAGTTTCCAAGTTTCAGTCTCCAAGTCCAGCATTTGAGTCCTACATCCTGCTGCACACAGCACACCTTGACAACGTATTGTTATTAGTTTGCCCTTTGATGTTATCTTCCTATTTTCCTTATCTTCACTCCCTGTCATAATGCGCAGTGTGAGGAATGATTTAAAAAAGGAACTGATAAGCAAAGGTTAACAGTTAAATTCAGGCACAGATCCAAAGTAAGCATAGGGTAATTGATACAGAGGTAAAAGCAAAGATTTGTCCAGGTGTAGGAAAGAAGTATTCCCTACATCCCCCTTCATGAATCACCACCTTATCACGGTGAAGGGGTTTGCGTGTCCTTCTGATCCCAGGAGCTATGTTGTCGGGGACAGTTTGTCCCTGGTAGGGTCTCCCTAGGTAAATTGGTCATGGGTAAAGGGCCAGACCAAGTG